CCCCAAAACCCCAAAACCCCAAAACCCCTTAAGATGTACTTAGATTTGAAATAATATATTAATTAACAAATGATAGGGTTTTGAATAGGAGTTGTCTTCAAAGGTTTGACATATCTTGCCGTTGCTTTGATAATATACATGGTCTACAAGGTGCTATATAAGCCATGGAGGTTTAGACAGAGATATAAAGGCTATGCAAATGTACATGTTTCACCTAAATTCATCCCTGTCTTGGGAGATATTAGCTTTTTCATACAAGATATTAAGCAAAATAGAGTTTTCTACGATCATCTCAAGGATCTTCAAGTTGAAATGACAAAGAAGAACACTGATCTCAAAGCAGAAACCATTGGCATTGACCCTGTTATCGGCATTGTGTCTCATAAAGCATTGAAAGAAGTCTTAGATCAGAGTCCGAAGAAGATTGACAGAGCTGATATTGACAACACTGATTTCTTAAGAAGAGCAAGAATGAAAATGGCTTATGGATGCTACACTAATTCTCCTTCCACTAATCGTACTCTTAATAGAAGGAAGTCTACTAGCAAGCTTTTTGGAATGAATAAAATATCCAAGCATGTGCCAATGATCCTTCAGAACTCACAGAGAATCTTAAAGGAAATGAAGCATCAAGGAACTGTTGATATTAAGGGCATCATGGCTTTGTGTCTCAACAGAATACTTATGAGCATCTTGCTGGGCAATGATTTTGAAACAAAGATAGATGCTACTCACCAGTATTTATGTAACGATGGGACGACCAAGCAGCTTGATATCTGTAACTTCTTTGCAAAGTTCACGATGGATATGACTAGTGAATCAGGTAACCTGTTGACTATCTTATTTCCTATCTTAAATGTGACAAACATTGTGAATCCTTGGAAAAGAAATCATAAGAACGCAATCACTCTTAAGAATATAATGCAGCAAATCATTGCTAGATCTGAGGATAAGGACTCTTTCTGGAGTCAGATTTCCCAGCTGAATGAGTTTACTGATGAAGAGATCTTGGCAGATCTGATGATCATACTAACTGCAGGCTCTGAGACTTCTTCCAATTGCTTTGTGGCTATCTTGTATTATTTGAAGAAATTTCCTGAAGTGAAGCAGAAATTAATTCAGGAGCTGGAAAAGATTGGCATCACTTCGGATTGTGATGTTGAGAAAATGATAACGGCTGATAATTTACAAGAATGTGATTATCTTGCCAATGTTGTCAGAGAAGCCTTAAGAATTGATCCTCCTTTGGCTTTCACTCTCTGGTATCAAGCATACGAGGATACACAAATATGTGGAGTCCCTATTGACAAAGGCACCATCCTCAGACAAGAAGTTGTTGGCCCCAACAACGATCCAAATGACTGGCTCGATCCCCATGTGTTTGAGCCAAACAGACACAACCCTGACTCTGAGTTTTACAAGAAATCCCAGCAAGCAGGCAAGATTGCAAATGCATACTCGAAGAGGACTTTCGGACATGGAGCGAGGGCATGTCCAGGAGCTCTGTTGGCATCTCTGGAACTAAAAGTATTTACAGCATTCTTTCTGACTCAAATGGAGTATGAGGTAGAAAAGGAGGATCTAGAAAATGACCACATCGGTTTTGGTATTGGTAGTTTATTCAGCCCAAAGCTCACAGTTTCTTAAAGTGTTCTGACTTTGACAATCCAAGAATCATATGAATATTTCAAACTCATCAAACTTGGTATCTGTATTCTCAATATTTAAGGCAGATATCGGGGTTTTGGGGTTTTGGGGTTTTGGGG